TTTTAATGTTTTTATGAAAAAGATCAACAATTTGCTCAACTGACTTATATTCGAATGTATTTTTTCTGCAATATTTTGTTTTATTGCTTGAAATTTACACAGAACATCCGTGTAGTATAATTTGGATCTATATTAAGTCTATCTAACTAAACTCAGTGGCGTAACAGCCCATGAGGACCAAGGTCAACTGTATCCATCTTAGTTTACGTGATCTTGGGCAATGAGGTGCATGAGTAGATGTTCCGGTCAGTCTAGCGCGAAACCCCCAGTGTTTAGTTCCCAATCACAAACTTGGTACTCATTTATCGACCTACTGAAGGGATGAGTCGATCTTTTTTTCCCGGGTTTTTTATGTAAAGAGTGTTTTTTTTTTAGAATTTTAAATTGCAATAAAACAACGATGTATTATTCGATTGACATGAATTCTTTTTTATTCGAAAGATAATCTTGTGGCATTACATTTTAAATATGATTCCTGGCATATGACTGCCACGGCTGGCTCGGATGTAGTCCAATCTGGACGTCCAATTTTCGAATACTTTTTCCAACATTTGTGGCCGTACATCGGCAATAACACGGCGAATGTTGTCTTCTAAATGGTCAAGCGTTTGTGGCTTATCCGCATAGACCAATGACTTTACATAGCCCCACAGAAAATAGTCTAGCGGTGTTAAATCACAAGATCTTGGAGGCCAATTCACAGGTCCAAAACGTGAAATTAGGCGGTCACCAAACGTGTCTTTCAATAAATCGATTGTGGCACGAGCTGTGTGGCATGTTGCGCCGTCTTGTTGGAACCACAGCTCCTGGACATCATGATTGTTCAATTCAGGAATGAAGAAGTTAGTAATCATGGCTCTATACCGATCACCATTGACTGTAACGTTGTGGCCTTCATCGTTTTTGAATAAGGATTCCACCAGCCCATAAAGCGCATCAAACAGTCAGTTTTTCTGGATGTAACGGTGTTTCGACATACACTTGTGGATTAGCTTCACTACAAATGCGGCAGTTTTGTTTGTTGACGTAGCCATTCAACCAGAAGTGCGCTTCATCGCTAAATAAAATTCGTTTATGAAAATCGGGAACAACGGCAATCTCGTTTTGGACCCATTCGACGAATCTACGCCTTGCTTGATGATCGTTTTGATGAATTTCCAAACCAAACTGAGAATAAATCACTTGACTAAATCGGTCGCCCTCTTGGAAAGTAATGCCAACTTAAACTTCTATACCAGGAAAAAAACACTCTTTATATCTTCTTTCACTAACGTTGGAATGTATGTGTGCGTTGATAATTGTAAGCATAGAGAAAGAATTTCTAAAGGTAAACTAAAAAGAATCAGGAATTGTTTTTGTATTCTTTAAACTGATTTAAAAAAATGAAAAGATTCATGGTTAATTAAAAACTTTATCACGTATTTGTTAATGAATATTAATTAAATATAACAGTATACGTTCATTTTTCTTCGAGTAAAAGCTGTTCCAGTCATTAAGGCAATGTGTTTCTGAACATGAATTTCAACATACAGTGAAAGGCAAAATCATTTCCATAAGAGCTCTCTCTTCTTCAGTTTGATTTTTTAAAATTTTTAAATCACAAGAACCTGATAAAGATTAATAAAATTACATTGAATTGAGTTGGGTTTTTTTTTTAAATTCCATTGAAGTTGTTAGATTTATCTGTTCATGAAAGTCAGAATTAATATTGATGACATTTTACTTATAGTGAAATACGTTTAATGCGAAAAGCTTAAGACGAAATATCGGTTAAACATAAAATAACACAACGCTCCCGACAACTACTATGTGCTTTCATGCACTTTGTTTCTCTTAACACGAAACTAAAATCACTTAACACGAAACTATTTCCCTTCTGGAGAAGGATGATGTTTGAAACCGAGCCGACACTTAATGAAATGTTTGAGAAAGTTTCTGCATTATCAGATTGTCCTTCTGTATCATTGGAAGAACTCGTTGAAATAGATGATGATAATGTATGTACAGCTCCAATTATGGCAGACAAAGACATTTTGGAGTTTGTTCAAAACTCAAAAAATATCATTGATGCAGATTCCGACGACGAAAATAAGATGAATAATGCAGCTCTAGTTCCCACATCATCCGCAATGAGGAACATCATAAAAAGTATGTACAATTATTTAGACACTCATTTTAAACAAATGAATAAAACAATTTGATGTTAAGGTATGCGATTACGTTCAGAGCCATGATTTTGCAAAAGCGTATAAATGGATAATACTTATGATATTTAGTGTCACTTAGATTAGGAAATGTATATAAAATTGTTTTAAGAATATTATCCCAATAAAAATTTATTTAAGTACAATATTTTGACAAAAAATGAACATAGAATGACCCATTTTCAAAATATTCTCCTTTTGCGAAAAATGCTTCTATTATAATAATATTTCGCTTGTATATAGCTCAGACCTCTGTACAGATGCTCTACTAGAATTTTTGAAATATATAACTTAGAAGTGGGTTTATCCATGTTTTACGACAACAGAGGGGATAAATTTTAAGAAAAAAACGGCGATAATTATTTCATTTGGTTGTAACTCTGAAAATAATGTGAATTTTTCAAAAATCATAGTTGAGCTTCTCTACAGAAGTCTGAGCAAAAACAGGCAAAACATTATTATAATAGAACCATTTTTCACAAAAGGAGAACATTTGGGTAAAAGATTATTCTAAGTTAATTTTTAACCGAAATATTGTATTTAAATAATTTTTTTGTCAAAATGTCCTTAAAACAATTTTATTCATGTGTTCTAATCTAAGTGACACTAAACATGAAAATTATCCATTTATGCGCTTTTTTTTAAATCGTGGCTCCAAACGTAGTCGGATACCTTAAAAAAAACAATGAAAAGAAAATACCAGAATATTTTCCAAAAACTCAATAAATGTTTTGTTTTTCAAGAAACTTGAAAATGTTGTATTAAAATTCATTAAGTTCCTGTGAATATGTTTTCCTTCATTGACTTTTACTAAATACATGCATATATACATATGTATGCAAATGAAATGTACTCTAATAAATATAATTTTATTGTGAATATATATTTCATTTTTGTAATATTCTTTAAGACGAAAAAATATTTCAGTTTCGTGTTAAATGATTTTTTTTTCACTGAATATGAAAGAAAAGATTTATTTCTTCCGTTTTCTTCAAAATTCTATCTATTTGCGGTCGAACTTTTGCTTGACAAATAGATTAAGATTAAATAACTAAAAAATATAAGCATTTTGAAACGCATATTGTTGAAAAATATATGCCGAGTATCTCGATTTGTCTTCCTGCTTAACATGAATGAGCATCATCAGTATAATATTCTGTGCAGAATTCGAATTGTTTGTTACAGGGCGTAGGCAGGCTTGGCACGCGCTACAATTCTCTCTCACTGGCATTCTATACCACTCAACAAATTTGTCAATTTTTGAATGGATGGAGAATGATAATTTTAAAATAGAGTTTATTTTATTAGACATCTTCAGAATAACGGAAAATACATTTACGGAATGATGCAGAAATCTGAAAAATAATTCTAAAAATAAGTCAATAGCTATTTTAAATTGTTAAATATCACTTCTGGGGCGATTTAATTGTTTGAAGGAAATTGCGTGTACTCTGCTTTCCGCTTTTGGTTCTACATATCTATTAGAACAAATTTTTTTCTCGTATGAAAACTGTTTCGAGTCATCAAAGAAGTTTTAACAACTGAACATTCACAGTCGTGTCAAATCGAAAATTACAAGTTATACCCCTGAGAATGCGATATGAAGTAAAAAGTGGTTTATTCTTTTTATAATAAATATATCTGAAAGATACAAAAAATATGTACAATTAAATTTTTTTTTATTTATGTTGAAGGAACAGTTATATTTTTTTATGTTGATCATTTATATGTTTATAAATACCTTTAAATGATGCTTAATTAGTACATAATAAAACTCTTAAACGGTATTCGTGGCCTCTAATCTCTGACTCTGTATGCATTGCCGTAGAAATCAAATTGTTTCAAATATTTCCTTCTGTGCGGTACTGTGAATCAATTTTAGCACAACACAACTACAAGTTTGCCAATCCCTGGCTTATTACAAATATATATATGTGTGTGTGTGTGTGTGTGTGTGTGTGTGTGTGTGTGTGTGTGTGTGTGTGTGTGTGTGTGTGTGTGTGTGTGTGTGTGTGTGTGTGTGTGTGTGTGTGTGTGTGTGTGTGTGTGTGTGTGTGTGTGTGTGTGTGTGTACATATATATATATATACATAGGAATATATATGTATATATATATACAGGAATCTTTTAGGGAATGGGGAGGGATCTAGGGTTGGAAGCCCACCATTCTCGTATCATGCTCGAATACGCAACCCAACATATTCTTTTGATTTTATCGCATTTCGGGAACAGAAAGCAATACAAAATTAATTGTTGAATAAATAAGTAGCATTAAAATTAATAAAATTAATTATTAATAACAAATACTTAATTCAATTTTACGTACCATATACATAGGATAATAATCAATCAGAAAAAAATCAAGGGCTTTGGGGGAAGTTCCAGACCCGGGGACCCCCTTGTGTGTATACAAGTAGGTACCATAAAATCCGGCGCATAACGCGTAATGCCGTATAACGCGCACCTATACTTTCAAGCTGCAATTTTTAAAATTCTAGGATAATATAAAGGATATTTTTTTGCTCAGTAATTTCCGATATGTTAAAAAATGATATATTGACAAACAAAAAATAACTCAATGGAAAAATACTGTTGTTGACGTGTGTTTTTTTTTTATCCTGAGAACATATGAAATACAAGTGAACAAGAACAGAAAGCTTACAATACAACAGAAGAATATACACATTTATTACAAATGGTGATCCCAGCAAATAACAAGAAGGGGTGCGCTGCTTTCTTTTCGAGAAATTCATTACAGGCGAAAGACCGACTTCTTTCCCGAAGAAGATACAACCAAGTCTTACTCGGGATTCGAACCCGAACCCACTCGGTTTCAAGCCGAGTCATAGCTACCATACCGGCTGGGTGACATGGAAAAATATTCGTTTAAGTAAATATTTAAAAGTAATGTAAGCGTAATTATAGGGTATTTTTGTTTGGTTCATAAAATTTTCATATATTTACACTGTAATTTTTTTAATTTCTTGTCCTCCTTTTCATTGTAAGAAAACTGGTCACCTTAATACTATTAAATTGTGCGCTAATGATTTTCCATTCATAGAATATGTTGTTAAAATAAACTATCAAAAAAGCAAACAAAAAATTACTTCCACTCTGCTCAAATGTCGCATAAATGTCAAAATATCTCATGAAGAGTAATGCAGCATACTTAAAGGTTACTTCCTTATTCAATCAAGTTTGAACGTTTTCAAATCAAATTTTGAAAGCTACTTTTGTTTTAAAGAAATTTTTTGGTGAACCAGACACTAGACGTGCTTTGTGAGTTTGTGAATGATTTCACAAACGTCATGCTTTGAAATGAATGAATCGAAATTTACAAAAAAAAAATGGACATTTATGTTGAGTATTTGTCAAATGAATGAATTGAAATTGTTTTAAAATTTGAGAGCACATCTAATCTGACATAAATCCTTTAGAGGGGCGTGTCACTTCCGTCATTAGAATGCCACAAACTGTGTTAGTTTCATGATAGTGACAAGTAAATATACGCACGACCTTAACGCTTTTAACCAGATGTGAATTATATGTTACTACTGAAGCATATAAATAACAAATCCCGATAAAAATCTAAAATCAGCAAAATATATGATGATTTTAGTTATAACCAAGTTCTTCTGAAAACAAAGTGATAGCTTCTTTTTCTATCAGATAGAATATTGTCATTATATTGCCGCACGCATAAGTCCCGATACCAAGTCCCGATAGCCGAGTTGGCAGAGCGTTGGACTGAACTGGAGATCTCGTATGGGTTTATACTCCAGTGAGAAAAGTCGGTCTCTCGAAAAACTCTTAAGAAGGTATTTCGGACCGTATCAGGTGCTACGCCGTTTATCAGCCGTGACTTACGAAGTACAAGATTTTGATCCTGCTTCACGAAAAAGAAAACTAAGAGAAGTTGTCCATGTACTGCGTATGAAACCGTACCATGATCCCGCCGAGCAAATCGAAACCGAGGATATTCCTCCCAAAGAATCATACAAAGGACCCATCACTCGTTCCAGAATAAAGACCCTTGAACAAAATGACAGCGGGGCGCTGTCTTCTTTTTTGAGGGGAGCAATGCCGCACGCATAAGTCCCGATACCAAGTCCCGATAGCCGAGTTGGCAGAGCGTTGGACTGAACTTCCTCAGGTCTCGGGTTCGAATCCCGGCCCCGGCAGATTTATCCAAAGACTGGAATTTTGTTCTCGTTTTTAATGTATTGTTTCTCTAGGTTCTAGATGAATCCAGATCATTCTTTAGAGTGCATACTGGGTATTTCTCGAATATTCCGAAGTGTATAAAAGCAGAGTTCATCGCCAGTTGGGCATGTTCTCAGTCCAGTGTTGTATCGAGCTAGCTGTCGTGATTCTTAAATTAAATTCAAAGAAGTGTCTCTTTGCTGCCCAAGAAGTAAAGATTCTGGGCCATCTTGTATCTAGTAATGGCGTTCGTCCCGATCCCGACAAAATAAAAGCCGTAAGAAATTTTCCCACTCCAAAGAATATACATGACATACGAAGTTTTCTTGGCCTTTGTTCATACTTTAGAAGATTTATTAAAGGTTTCTGTTATCTCGCCGAACCTTTGCAGTCGTTGCTGAAAAGTGGCGTGGAGTTTCATTGGGGTCCTGAAGAGGTGGAAGCATTTAACAGTCTTAAGAAAGCACTTACTTCGGATCCAGTATTGGGGATGTACGACGAAAGAGCTTCTACAGAAATCCATACTGATGCAAGCGGGTACGGTATCGGAGCTGTCCTAGTACAAATTCAGAATAATGTCGAGAAAGTTATAGCATACGCTTCTAGAACTCTGACAAAAGCCGAAAAGAATTATTCCACCACAGAAAGGGAATGTCTTGCCATCGTATGGGCTACCAACAAATTTCGGCCGTACATATTCGGGAAACACTTTACTGTTGTAACTGACCATCATTCCTTGTGCTGGCTCATGAATTTAAAGGATCCTTCAGGAAGGCTTGCCAGATGGGCCCTCCGACTTCAAGAGCATGATTTTGACGTAAAATATAAAACCGGTAAGAAGCATAATGACGCCGACGCTCTTTCGAGAAATCCAGTGGAAGAGGAAACGGAAACATCAGACAAATTTTTAGCAGTCACGACGAGTATGAACCTTGCGATGGAACAGAAAAAGGATCAAGACCTTGCGAAATTAAAACTTTTGAGCAACTCATCCAAAACGAAGAATTCAGATTTATCGACGGTATCCTTTGCAGGAAGAATTTTTGATCCAGATGGAAAGTTGTGGTTGCCAGTCATTCCTAAACATCTACGAGCAGACATACTAAGGCACTTTCATGACGCCCCCACCGCAGGACACCTTGGTTTCGCGAAAACTTATGACAGGATACGCAAGAGATTTTACTGGCCGGGAATGTACCGAAATGTCGTTCGGTATGTCATGCATTGTCGGGAATGCCAAAGGAGAAAGTCCGTTCCTCAACGACCACCTGGACGTTTAGTTCCCATCCCTCCAGCTATAGCTCCTTTCCATCGCATTGGAATTGATCTCCTTGGGAGATTTCCAAAGTCTGCTCATGAAACAAATGGATAATAGTCTGCACGGATTACTCAACACGATATGCAATAACAAAAGCCTTGCCGACAGCCGAAGTCGACGAAATAGCGAAGTTCTTACTTGAAGAAATTGTCCTCAGGCATGGAGCTCCTCGAGTAATTATCACAGATCGTGGAGCCGTCTTTCGATCCAGACTTGTTTCCTCTCTCGTCGACTTGTGTAACATTGATCATCGCTTCACAACGGCGTATCATCCCCAAACAAATGGACTGACGGAGCGCTTCAATAAGACCTTGGCCGACATGTTGTCAATGTATGTGGATGTAGAGCAGAAAAATTGGGATGAAATTCTACCATTTGTAACCTTCGCTTATAATACCGCTAAACAAGAGACCACAGGTTTTACGCCGTTCTATTTACTTCATGGTCGTGAAGCGGAAACGACACTAGATACAATGCTACCATTCTGTCCTAACGATTTTGATGACAATAACATCACCAAGATAGCAGCCAGAGCCGAAGAATCACGACAATATATTATTATCAATATGTAAAGGGTGTTTTTTTAGAGGTATAGAACTTTAAAGTGCAATAAAACAACGATGTATTATTCGATTGACATGAATTTTTTTTATTCGAAAGATAATCTTGTGGCATTACATTTTAAATAGGATTTTTGGCATATAACTGCCACGGCTGGCTCGGATGTAGTCCAATCTGGACGTCCAATTTTCGATGACTTTTTCCAACATTTGTGGCCCTATATCGACAATAACACGGCGAATGTTGTCTTCCAAATGGTCAAGCGTTTGTGGCTTATCCGCATAGACCAATGACTTTACATAGCCCCACAGAAAATAGTCTAGCGGTGTTAAATCACAAGATCTTGGAGGCCAATTCACAGGTCCAAAACGTGAAATTAGGCGGTCACCAAACGTGTATTTCAATAAATCGATTGTGGCACGAGCTGTGTGACATGTTGCGCCACCTTGTTGGAACCACAGCTCCTGGACATCATGATTGTTCAATTCAGGAATGAAAAAGTTAGTAATCATGGCTCTATACCGATCACCATTGACTGTAACGTTGTGGCCTTCATCGTTTTTGAAGAAGGATTCCACCAGCCCATAAAGCGCACCAAACAGTCAGTTTTTCTGGATGTAACGCTGTTTCGACATACACTTGTGGATTAGCTTCACTCCAAATGCGGCAGTTTTGTTTGTTGACGTAGCCATTCAACCAGAAGTTCGCTTCATCGCTAAACAAAATTGGCTTATGAAAATCGGGAACAACGGCAATCTCGTTTTGGGCCCATTCGACAAATCTACGCCTTGCTTGATGATCGTTTTGATGAATTGCCAAACCAAACTGAGAATAAATCACTTGACAGCTTTTAAATCGGTCGCCATCTTGGAAAGTAATGCCAACTTAAACTTCTATACCTGGAAAAAAAACACCCTATATAATCAATTATTCAATAACATCAAAATACGATAGGTCATAGTCAATAATTGGGAATATTTAACATTATTTGCTAAATGTAATGGAAGAATTAAAGTGACCGCAGAAAACTCTAACCTTAATTGGAAACACAAATCATCAACAGGGTGTTGTTGCTAAGCGAATAATTCTGGGACTATATTTAGCTAAAAACAGTATTATTTTAAACAACTGATTTCAAGCAATGAACCAAAGCTATTTTGATTTATTACGCAGTTACAAATCAAATATTGATTGCTTGCATATTTTGATTACGCAGATTTTATATTATTCTATAACTAATATAATGTACACCCAACTCTTTTTTTTATATGATTTTGAAAAGACAAGGTACACGAATAAAATGATATTTTTCTTTACGCAAATTTTTTGTTCTAGCACGAATTTAAAGAAAAATTAGGAACTTGTGCCCTTTGGATGAAGACGATTTGAACGAGTTTATTACAGTTTTTGATTATAACGGAGCCGATACTGATGAAATAGAAGGTGAAGTTCACACACACACACACACACACAGCTATTAACAGTTGATTTAATATGCGAGGGCTTGAAATTTGCTACAAGTATAGAACAATTTATTACTCATGATCCTGAAATAGAGCGTGAGTTAAAATTTCTATGTAATGTTGAGTAGCAAGATATCAAGAATTATATAATCAACTTGAAAAACTAAAAAGACGGCCGCTATTAAGAATTTGTAACAACAAAAAACGCCGTTAATGACGAACAAAATTCATTTTAATCCAAACCAACAGTTATGCCAGACCAGTGCTTCTCAAACTTTCAGTACTTGCGACCCAATGTTCAATCATCATTTTCATTGCGCCCCCT